AAGGACAAAATAAAAAAACTAGGAAAGCTTGATATTGAAATGATTATAGGAGAGACAGGCTTAAAGGTATCTCGGGTTGAGGAACTAGAAAATATTGGCGCTGTTAAGAATAACATTTTAGAGAACCAGCAGTTAGCATAATGGCTATGTTGCTGGACTCCCACGTAGTCGACCATGGTTCGCGTCCCAGAACCAGTGGCTTAAAACTCACGCCAGGCGCTTGTGCGTTCATGCCGAAGATCCCGAGAGGAGAAGGAAGAGAAGGGATTGTGGTGTGACCATCCCCCTGGGGGGTGATTTCTTACTTTCTGTCTCTATGTCTCTCTCTGTCTGGCAAGCGCACGTGCCCCATAGCGAAAATCTATCCAAAAAAAAAAGAATAACATTTAAAAAGAATTACATAATTTTGGACCAGCTGATGGTGTAATGGTTACATTACTGGACTCCCACACAGTCAATCATGGCTCAAGTCCTGGACCTGGCAACTTAAAACTCATGCCTCGCACATGTGTATGCATGTCCAAAATCCAGAGAGGAGAATGGGGGGAGAAAGGATTGTGGCATGGTCATCATCCCGGAGAGTGATTTCTTGCCTTCTGTCTTTCTGTCTCTCCGGCAAGCACACACATCCTATAGCAAAAAATCTCTCTAAATAAAATTTTTAAAAGAATTACATAATTATATCATAATTTCCTTATCCCTGTTATGGGGTAAATTATATCCCACAAAAATAAACACTGAGCAGCTAGCCGATGGTGTAGAAGTTAAAGCAGCTGGATGCCACATGGCCTACTATAGGGTTCAAGTTCCAGACCTAGCAATTGAGAAACATTCTGGATTTGTGTGATGCAAGCCCAATATCGCAAGAGGACAGGGACCAGCAGATGGTGTAATGGTTATGTCGCTGGACTCTACATGGCCAACCATGGTTCGAGTCCTGAACCTGGTGTCTTGAAACTCATGCCAGGCACATGTGCATGCATGCCCAAAATCCTGAAAGACTAGAGTAGAAGGGATTGTGGCATGACCATCCCTCCTTGGCGATGATTTCTTACTTTCTATCTCTCTGCCTCTGTCTGTGCCCTATAGTAGAGCACACGCCCCTCTATAGGAAAAGATCTAACAACAAAAACAATAAAAAAAATCCCAAGAGGAAAATGGAGGAGCTATTACAGCATGGCCATCCTCCCCGTGGGGTGCTTTCTCACTTTCCCTCTCCCTCTGTGTCTCTAACTGTCTCTGGTGAGTGTACCCTATAGTGGAAAAGAAAAGAAAAGAAGAGAAGAAGAGAAGAGAAGAGAAGAGAAGAGAAGAGAAGAGAAGAGAAGAGAAGAGAAGAGAAGAGAAGAGAAGAGAAGAGAAGAGAAGAGAAGAGAAAAGAAAAAAGAAAAAGAAAAAATGTTAAAGTTCATAGGGTCTTCATATACATAATCAAGTTAAGATGAAGTCATTAGAATAGGCCCAAATCCAATATGATTGGTGTCTTTATGAGGAGATTAAACAGAAAAACAGAACACCATAAGAAGATACAGAGACACACAGAGAGGGAGAACACTGTCACATGAAGATAGAGGCAGAGCATGAAGTGATGCAACTATAAATAGCCAAGAATTGCCAAGGAATGCCAGAAAACCACCAGAGCTAAGAAGGAAACAAGAAAAGATATTCCCTTACAAGCTTTAGAGAGCAAGGCCTGTCAATCCCTTGATTTCCTTCTTCTAGTTTCCAAATCTGTGAAACAATAAATTTCAATTGTTTTAAGCCTTCCAGGTTATGGTACTTTGTTATGGTAGTGCCAGAAAGCTAACACATCACTCAAGTCTATTCATTTTTGTATCTCTCTCACTGACTATAAAATCACAGGAAGTATCATGTCTCTTACAAACCTTTTCTTCTTAAAGAGATTTTTGCTATAGGGTGTATGTGCTTGCCAGAGAGAGACAGACAGACAGAAAGCGGGAAATCACCCCCAACCTCTCGGTGAATGGCGACAATCCCTTCTCCTCCACTCTCTTCTCAGGAACTTGGGCATGCAAGCACACGTGCCTGGCATGAGTTTCAAGCCACCAGGTCCAGGACTCAAACAGCAGTCAACTATGTAGTAGTCCAGCACCTTAACTACCACACCGCCTGCAAGGCCTATATCTCAAATACTACTATCTATAAGCACTTGGCCCTCTACCTCATACAGGTTGGCATTTGAAAAATGTGTATGGGACCAGCTGCATAGCCTAATAGTTAAGGGAGCTAAATCCACATAGTCAACTGTGGTTCAAATCTCAGGCCCCATGGCTTGAAAAACGTGTGTGTACCCAAAATCCTAATAGGATAGAGAAATGGAGGACAAGGGACCATGGTGTGACCACGCCTCACTGAGGGTTGCTTTCTACATACTTCTGTCTCTGGCAAGCACACGTGCCCTCTGGCAATTAAAAAAAAAAAATTGTCACCAACATAGTAGAGTGGCAGTAATGCAACACTTTATAATGTTGAAGCCACATGGGAAGGTCCAAGGTTCAATTAATCCAGATTAACACTACTCTGGCTTACTTCAAACAGTTCCCAAATGAACCTAAAGCACTAAGAGCAGCTTTGTACAATCAAAGGCTTGCAAATAAGAATATGAGGCCTGTTTAAACAGTAATATTATCTATTAGAAAACTACGCATATATGGTTGAAATCACCCCCCACACCTGGCACACATACACATCTGTGATCCTGGCTGGCTGGAGCTGGGGATGAACTGAGGTGTGAGGACTTATTGGGGGTGCTCTCTTTCTCTCTCTCTCTCTCATGGAAGAAATACATAAACTTTTTAAATGAATGAAAGAAGCTTAAAAAGAAGTTAGTATCAAGTGAAATGATAACAAGCTCAAGTTTTGATGTAAATATTTTATAGAGCAACAGCCCTTAACCTCTGAGTCATGACACTGGTACAGAACTGTCAATTATGAAGTATAAGCAATTGTTATTAGTAATATGAAGAGTCAAAGTTTGCGAATAATTTTCTGGGTTTTTGTTGTTTGTTTTGCCACAGGGCACGAGCACTCACCGCAGATAGAAAGATAAAAGGGAGAGGGAGAAAGTGTACCCCCCACACCATTGGAAATGGCACACAAAAATCCCTTCTCTTCCATTTCTCCATCCTGTTGGCATTTTGGACATGCATGAACATACTCCCAGGGTATTTTTCAAGCCGCCAAGTCCAGGGTTCAAACAATGGGTCAGCCATATGGGATCTGGCTGCCTTAACCACCAGACCATGGAGCCAGCCCTCTGTTTTTCTTTCTTTTTTTTAAATAATTATTTATTCGGGGGGCTGGCAGGTGGCATGATGATTAACGGTGCTAGACTCCCACATAGCCGACTGTGGTTGGAGTCCTAGAACTAGCAGCTTGCTTTCTCACTTTCCCTCTCTCTTTCTCTCTGTCCCTCTCTAGTCAATTTAAATAAATAAATAAATAAATAAAGTTAAATTAAATGTGTTATATTATTATTGATCTTTTTTTAATTTGCTCTAGGGCATATGCACTCCAGAGAAAGACAGAGAAAAAGTGAGGAAGCAAGCCTCCAGGTCTGGAACTTGAACCACAGCTGGTCCTGTGGTAGTCCAGCAACTTAACCACCACATACCCACTGGTTCTGTTTTTCTTTTAAATATATATATACTGGAATTAATTCAAGATAATCCCCATAATAATGATACCTCACTCACTGGCATTCTTTTTTTTTTTTTTTAATTGCCAGAGGGTACATATGCTCACTAGAGAGAGACAGAAAGCACTCCCCAATACGGCATGGTCATGCAGCAATGTTTTTCCTCCACTACTCCTTCCCATCAGGATTTTGGGCTCACACACACACACACACACACACACACACACACTTGTCCAAGGGTGTTTTTGTTTGTTTTTTCTTAAAGAATTATTTTATTTAACTTTATTTATTATTATCATTATTATTTTCCAGTTTGATCAAAGAGAGAGAGAGAAAGTGATAAAGCAGCCACCAGGTCTGAGACTTGAACCGTGGTTGGCCATGTGGAAGTCCAGTGCCTTTAACCACCATGCCACTTGCCAGCCCCCTCCAATGTGTTTTTAAAGTGGCTAGGGACAAAATTCAAACCATGGTCAGTCCTGTAGGATATAGCTCTCTTAAACCACTGTGCTACAGGGCTGGCCCTAGCATTCTGTTTTCCTGAATGTCAGCAAGGGAAGCAGAATTAAGACAGCATGTCAGGAATTGCCTCAAACTCTGGAATATCCACCAAAGAGTGTTTTAGGATTAAAAACTGCTACATGGAAAACAATAGTGACTGAGTGGTAATAGTAATAATAATATATTAATATAATAATAATGGCTACCAATTATTATGCACATACTATCTTCCAGACACATAAGTCTACGCAAACAACAAATACTCATCTGTTAAATAAATAACCACCTGTATTACTGCAACAGCCTCATAACTAGTCTCAGTAAAAACCTATTCTAAATTCAGCAACCAGAGCGACCTTTTTACAATATGTCAGATTAACGGCCTTCCAAACCCTCCCATGGCTCCCATTTTCCCCAGAGAAAAACCCCTGACATGACTGGGACCTCACTGACACTCCATCTTTATTGTTTAGCACTCTCCTGTCTACCCTCCAACCCCCACTGGTCTGCCTACCATTCCTTGATGCTGCTAAGCATACTCCACCTCTGAGTCATTGTCTTGCTGCTTCGCCTTTCCTGTAGCATCCCCCTCCCCGCTCCCATTACATCTGAAGGATTTTCTCATCCACTTTCTTCTGTTCTCTGCTCAAATCAGTAAGGCATTCCATGATTACCCTTACTCCACTCCACAACAGACACACAGAATGCAGGATTACTATAAACTAAAAACATTGCTCCATGTTTCAGTCTTTTTCTAAAAACTACTCACCTCTAAAATATTTCTTAATCAAGACTTTTAAATGAGAATAATGATGTTAACATTTTTATGAGAGATATATACCTGCAGCTGTTGAAGATCATCTTCCTGAATGTTCTGGGATAAGTTATAAATCTAGAAAACAAAAATCCAGATTGATACTACTCTGGCTTACTTTAAACAATTCCCAAACAAGCCTAAAACATCGAGAGAAGCTTTGTACAATCACGGTTTGCACAAGAATATGAGGCCTGTTTAAACGCAAATAGTATCTGTCTTTTAGAAAACTATGAATATATGGTTAAATCAGAAAATTCTTCCTTTATAGTTCAAAATAGTTTTCCTAAGTTCCTAGTAAATCTACATTTTCTTATGGTGCAATATCATTTTCCATTTCACAGGTTTTTCTTGTAGCATCTTATATATGATAATGACCAAAGTAGAAAAACATTATAGCTCATTCTTGAGCTTGTAAAAGCTTAATCTACATTTATAATATAAAATGAACATTTACCTATCACCACAGAAATTGTTAAGAGAACAGTAACTGAAACTAGATGTTCTCCTTTTATCTTATTTCCTCTGCAAACTTCTTTCCCCTGACTCAAGTGGTTTTACCTGAACAGAACTAGTCATGGTGCTTAGAGCAAAGATGGTAGCACAGTCTTTCACAGTTGACTGGCTGTCGAAGGCCCCCTGGGTGTCCATTAGAACAACTGCAACCTAAAAAAATAAATGGTAAAACGAAATAGGTTAAAGTGAGGAGGAAAATGTAAAGGAAAAATTGAAAAATACAGGTAAGATTTACATAAGCCTTAAGTATACTTGCTTGTAGGTTCTAACAGAAAAGAGCCAACTATTTAGGTCGTTTGATTTGATCAGGGCGCTTTGCTGGAGAAGATGATCTGCTCTGACAGGGCCTACAGAATAATATGGAAAGACTAGCTGACCCACAAAAATGCTATAATCAATTATCTCAATGCCCAGCCAATCATTTGGATGCCTTTTTTTTTTCTTTTGAGAGGTTTTTGCTATAGGGTGCATGTGCTTGCCAGAAAGACAGAGAGAAACAGAGACAGAAAGCGAGAAATCACCCTCCAAGGGGGGATGGCCACACTGCAATCCCTTCTCCTCCCTTCTCCTCTCAGGATCTTAGGCACGCATGCACATACCCCCAGTGTGAGTTTAAGCCACTGAGTCCGGGACTCGAACTGCAGTCAACTAACTACATAGGAGTCCAGTGACATAGCCACTATGCCAACTGCTGGTCCCTTAGATGCCTTTTTATTGTTAAAAAAATTTTCTTTTCAAATACTAATTTGATTTAATTTAAACTTATGAGCTGGCATATTTTTAGCGCGGATCTGCAAGGCTGCATTCATTTCTCAAATTTCTAGGGTTTTCTGGTTGTTTTATAGGTGGAGTACAAAGTACTTTTAGGACAGTGTAGCTATTCTGAATGATATAGTAATGGTGGACACATGTCATTATACATTTGTCAAAACCCACAGAATATACAAGACAGTGAGTGAAACCTAATGTAAACTATGGGCATTAATGATGAATATAAATATCAGTTCATTAAATGAAATAAATGTATCATACTAACACAAATGTAAACAAAAAAAAACTAAGGGCAGGGAATCGCTAATAAAAATGTTAATGAAAGTAATCAAGAAGGTGTAAATGTGGGAACTCTGCTTTCCAATCAAATTTCCTATCAATCTAAAACTGTTCTGAAAGACAAATCATAATATTAATTACTGTTTAAGGTAAGACTCCAAAGCGACAATAAAAAACATGAAGTTTTATATTACAGTCAATACAACAGGATATAAAACCAAAGATACTTTCAAGATCATGTAATTAAAAAAGAAGAAAGCTTCCTTACTACTACTAAAATTATAGAGATTTCCTAAACTATTAAGAATTACTATGCCAAATGCCCAAAATAATAAATGTGAAAATAAAAACAAATTAGTTAGGTCTCTATATAAAGGGATCACAGAGTCAAAATTATTTATCCCTAAAAACAAATTATGGGGGCCAGCAAACAGAGTGGTGGTTAAGGCAGCTAGATCTCACATGGCCAGCTACACGGTTTCCCAGACCCAGTAGCTTGAAAAACATGCTGGGTACATGTGCATGTGTTCCCAAAATCCCAAGAGGAGAATGAAGGAGAAGGGATTGAGGAATGGCCATTCCTCTATTGGTTCCTTTCTTACTTTCCCTCTCTGTCTCTGGCCAGTGATCACATCTTACAGCAAAAAATTTAAAAAAAAAAAAAAAAGCTATGTACCATACCAGGCTCTGTGGTGCAGATGGAGGCATGCCAGACTACAGTGCTGGAAACCCAATGGTAACTGCAGTTCAAATCCCTTGTCCAGTTGGCCTGAGATACAATGGACACATGTATACACACCGAAGATCCTAATGAACTGAAGGACTAGAGAAGGGATCATAGTGTGACCAGATCCTGCTGAGAGTTCTGCTCTCTCTCTCTCAGCATGCATGTGCTATATCAGGAATAAAAAAAAAAAAAAAAAGGCTTGTATCAGGGGCTGAAGGGTGGCACAGTGCTCTATAGGGCTGACCTGACCTACATGGAAAGTTCGTGGGTTTGCATCCAAAGCCCTCTCGGTATGCACCAGGCATGCACATGTCCATGATCCAGAACTGACTGGAAGTGGATTGCAGCATCTTTTCTCTTTGGGGATGCTGTCTTTTTCTCTCTTGCTTAAGGAAGAAATCAAACTTTTAAAAATTGTGTATTTAGTCCTCTAGCTCCCAAAATATTGACTAAATGAGCATTTAGGAAAAGGTTAAACAGCACAACCTGAAGGGGAAATCTGAAATCATAAGCCCTAGTAAAGAGCAGATATTAGAGGCACAAATAGCTATGAAGGTATACTTGTAGGATGAGACTAAAAACAAAAGGAAATAACTAACTTCTGTATGTAAAACAAAACCCCCCTCCCAACCCTTAACAAAGAAATTTGTGAAGGGGCTCTATGAAGGCAGCTTACTAAGCACACTAGAGAATAAAGGTAAGAAATCCTACTGGGCTCAGTTTAGGTGGCACAGGCAGTAGCTTACTGAACTGCAATGCTGGAAGCCACATGGCTGACTGTGGCTTTGGATTCCAAGTTGATCTGAAAACACAGGTACACATGTTCCCAAGATCCTGAAGAGACCTGAAGGAAGGGGATCTCAGCATGAAGACACTCTACTGAAGGTGCCTCTATCCCTCTCTCACCTGTGCACACACACTCTCATGAATAAACTAAATTTAATACAAGAAAAAATCCTATTGATAGCTTGGGGGCAGTGAATGCCCACAGTGATATCTCCTAGTACCATTTCTGTGCTCAGTTCCTGGAACAAAAAAGCCAAGTCTAGGGACCAGCAGTTAGCATAATGACTGTCGCTGGACTCCCATGTAGTCGACCGCGGTTCGCATCCTGGACCTGGTGGCTTAAAACTCATGCTGGGCGCATGTGCGTGCATGCCCAAGATCCCGAGAGGAGAATGGAGGAGAAGGGACTGCGGCATGGCCATCCCCCGTAGGGGGTGATTTCTCGCTTTCTGTCTCTCTATCTCTGTCTGTCTGTCTGGCAAGTACACGCCCCCTAACGCAAAAACCTCTCCAAAAAAAAAATTAAAAAAAAAAAAAAAGGTCAAGTCTATGCCACTTACACAGGAATAAGGAAGAAGTAATACCTACAACAGTTGAGAACATTAGCCTCTGGGATGTAAAAATTAGGCAGAGAGAAGTATAGCACACATGATGGTCTCTTTGTACTAGAAGATTTATAGTATCATTTCACCTGTTAAAATATATTTATGTACTATTTTTAAATCATAGACTTGTAACACTTCAATAAAATTATTTTTCAGTTAGAAACACCCAGTATATGTTCAAGTTCTCATTTTGTTGGGGCCAGACTCCCATATGGCCAACCATGGTTCAAGTCCATTAAGGTGCTAGACTCCCATATGACCAACCATGGTTCAAGTCCCAGGCCTGGTGGCTTGTTTTCCTTTCCTCTCTCGCTCTTGCTCTGTCTCTCCCTGGTGAGTACACATGCCCTATAGCAAAAAAAAAAAAAAAAAATTTAAATAATAATGAATAAAATTAAATAAATAATTCCAAAAAATAAAAAAATAAACAAGTTCTCATTTTGTTGTTTTTTATTGTTAATGTTAATTTGTATGTGTTTTTTCATCCTTACCTTCTTCCCACCTGGCTTCTCCACAGTGAAAACTTCACTCCAGATTTGAATCCCAGTGGTTTCTGGGTCAGAGACCCCACGCCATGAAAATCCTGTTAATGGTTCTTCTGGGTCACCCAACCAATTTGAATGGCCATGCTCCTTCTATAGGAAAAAAAAAAAAATTTCCAATAAGTCTTTTTTTTTTTTTGGAGAGGTTTTCGCTATAGAGCGCGTGCGCTCGCCAGACAGACAGAGAGAGACATAGAGACAGAAAGCAAGAAATCACCCCCCAGGGGGGATGTTCACGCCGCAATCCCTTCTCCTCCATTCTCCTCTCGGGATCTTGGGCACGCACGAACATGCGCCCGGCATGAATTTTAAGCCACCGGGTCCGGGACGCAAACCGCAGTGGGAGTCCAGCGACATAGCCATTATGCTAACTGCTGGTTCCCTCCAATAAGTCTTAACTAAGTACTTTTATATACCAAGGATAATCCAAGCACTTATTTGGTTTTTTTAGCCATAAAAGTCTCATTTTTTAATTTGAAATGAAATAATTATACCTTACCTGAGAATATAAGTATCGTAGCATAAAGTCCAGAATGAAAGACTTGCCCTTTCGAAAGGCACCAGCCACTGACACCACAACCACATCAAGATCTCGGATGTGGTCTTGCAAGAGAATGCTGGCCAAGGCTTTCTCTTCTAGTTCGAAGGAATGTTGGTCTTTATGAACCAAAACAACCTGCACTGGACCAGGCTTTCCACTCTCCATGGCATCACCTGTGTTAATGTAAAGAAAATTAAAAATTACTATCAAATCTTTTTTTTAAAGAATTATTTATTATTATTACTATTTTTTCACATGAGTTTTGCCAGAGAAAGACAGAGAGAAGGGAGGTGTGGATAGTGAGAAAGCAAGTCAACCAAGTCCAAGACTCTAACATAGTTGGCCATGTGGGAATCCAGCATCTTAACCACTACACCACCTGCTGGCCCCATTATCAAATCTTTTTAAACATGTATTTTTGAACATGAGAAGAACAAAAACTTCTTAAACAGGGTATAAAAGTACTAACTACATAAATAAAATATGACCAATTAGTCTTTATTAAGATTTTTTTGAGCCCAGCAGGTGGCATTGTGGTTAAGGGGCTAGACTCCCATGTGGCCAACAGCAGTTCAAGTCCTCGACCTGGCGACTTGTTTTCACTTTCTTTTTGTCTCTCTCTTTCTCTCTGGTGAGCACAAGTATCCTATAGTAAAATTTTAAAATAATAATAGGTAAAATTAAATGATTTTTTAAAAATATTTTTTGTTCAATAAAAGATGGCAGTCAGGGCTAGCAGGTGTCATGGTAATTACAGCACTGGATCCTACATAGCTGACTGCACAATTTGAGTACCAGGCCCGGAATCTGAAAAACACACTGGATGCATGTGCATGTATGCCCAAAATCCCAAGAGGGTCCAGCAGTTGACGTGGTGTTAAGGCACTAAGACTCCAACATGGCTAACTGTGGTTCAAGTCCCAGACCTGGTAGCTTGCTTTCTCATTTTCTCTCTCTCTCTAATCAAATTAAAAATAATAATAATACAAAATAAATAAGTAAATAAAAAAAAAAAAAAAAAAAGTAAATTTAAAAAAAAAAAAAAAAAAGGGAGGGGAGGAGAAGGGATTGTGTCATGGCCATCCTCCAGAAGGCTGATTTCTCACCTATCTCTATCTCTCTCTGGTGAGCAGCCTGGTGATTAAGGATTCCACATGGGCAGCAGCAGATGGGATGGTGGTTAAGGTGCTGGATTTCCACATGGATGACCACAGTTCAGGTCCTAGACCTATTGACTTGCTTCCTCATTTCCCTTTCTCTCTCTCTCTCCAGTCAAATTAAAAATAACAACAATAAGTAATTCTTTAAAAAAAAATTCCACATGGATAACAGGAGTTCAAGTCCTAGCCTCAGTGGCTTCAAAAGCACAGAGGTGCATGTCTGAAATCCAAAACGATGGAGAAATAGATGAGATGGGATTGCAGAGTAACCATGGGTATAACTTTCTCTCTCTCTCTCCATCTCTCTATCTGTCTCTCTCTGGGGAATGCATGTACCCTCTGACAAATTTTTTAAAATGTTTAAAAATTAGATGCCATAGGAGTAAAAAAATGTGGGGCCAGCAGTGGTATGGTGGTGAAGGTGCCAGACTCCCACATGGCCAACCACAGTTCATGTTCCAGATCTAGAGGCTTGCTTTTTTTGTTTTTGTTTTTTTAAGAGATATTTTTGCTATAGGAGCATGCACTTGCTGGAGACACAGAGACAGAGAAAGTGAGAAACGACCACCGGGGGGGGAGGGGATGGTCACAGCACAATCCCTTCTCCTCCATTCTCCACTAGAGATTTTGGGTGCACACACACATGTACAGCATGAATTTCAAGCTGTCAAGTCTGGGACTCAAACCATGGGCAGTCAAGTAGAGGTCTAGTGCCTTAACCACTATGCCACCTGCTGGTCCCACAGCTTGCTTCCTCTCCCTCTGGTAAGTGCAAGTGCCCTATAGCAAATTTAAAAACAATAAAATTAAATAAATAATTCTTTTTAAAAAGCTAAAAAAAAAAAGCCATAGACTAGCAGAAAATATTTATAGCACCTATTTCTAAATTATTTATATCAAGAATCAATATAGAATTACATAAAAAACAACAAACATTGCAGCCAGCAGATAGTGTGGTGATTAAGGCACTGGACTCCCATATAGTTGACCACATTTTGAGTCCTGGAGCTAACAGCTTGCAAATCATGCTGGCTGTGTGTGCATGGTGCCCAAAATCCCAGGAGGAGAATGTAAAGGGAATGCAGCATAGCCATTCCCCAGGGGTGATTTTTCACTCTCCTTCTCATTGCCTCTCTGTCTCTCTCCAGCAAGTATTCACACCCTATGGCAAAAAATCTTAAAAAAAAAAAAAAAAAAAATCTTATTTTTAAAATAATAGTGGCAAGGCCCGCAGGTGGTATGGTGGTAAAAGAAGCTGGACTCCCACATGGCTGACCATGGTTTGAGTCCCAGAACTGGCGGCTTGCTTTCTCACTTTCTCTCTTCCTCTCTCTCTGTCTCTCTCTAGTCAAACTCAAAAATAGTAATAATAAATAAAATTAAATAATTTCTTTAAAAAATAATAATGGGAAAAAGACTATAAATAGGCACACTTTACCAAAATAAAGAATTTCCAAATGATCAATAATTACATGATCTGGTACTTCCATATCATTACCTATCAAGGAAATTTAAATTAAAACCATAAGGAGATACAGTCAAGTTTCACTTAATGATAGAGATATATTCAGAGACACACACACTGCTAGGTGATTTCATCATTGTTCGAACATACAACACAAGAACGTAAACAAGCTTAGATGGTATAGCCTACTACACACCTAGGCTGTTTAATTATTATTATTATTCCTTGGCTACAAACCTGTACAGCATGTTACTGAATAATATAGGCAAATGTAACACAACAGTAACTATTTTGTGTATCTAAACACATATGAAAGGGTACAGTAAAATTACAACATAAAATAAAGGGACACCTTCGAGGATCAGCCAGTTGATGCAGTGGTTAAGGTAGCTAGTACCCACCTGGCCAACTGCACAGTGCAGTCTGAGTCCCAGATCCAGTACCTCAAAAAGCACACGGTGGGGTGGGAAGGGGGCAGCAGATAGTGTAATGGTTAGGTTGCCGGACTTAGGTCAACTGTGATTCAAGTCCCGGACCCAGTGGCTTAAAACTCATGCCTGGTGCATGTGCGTGAGTGCCCAAGATCCTGAGAGAAGAATGGAAGAGAAGGGACTGCAGCGTGGACATCCCCTCAGGGTGTGATTTCATGCTTTCTAAAGAAAAAAAGAAAAAGCACAGGAGGTGCATGTTACATGCATGTGTGCCTGCTCAAAAATCCCAAGAGGAGGAGAATGGAGAAGGGATTATGGTATAGCCATCTCTTCCAGGGGATTAATTTCTCTTTCTCTCCTCTCTCTCACATTAAATTTTAAATAATATGCAAGGGACCCCACATAGAATTGATCCAAGATCTTCCCCAAGGCACATCATAGACAGATTGAACAAAACCACATAGACAAGAAACTATAATTGGCAAGAGAGAAATGTAAAGTTATTTTTTGTTTATTTGTTTTATTATTATTATTCATTAAATTGCTATACGTCATTTAGATTGTGAAGAGACTTTACCCAGCATGATTTACACCTCAGTACAGCCCAGTTGAGACTATTATATACCTCCTCGTCAACAGATAATAAACCTTATTTGTGTCCTACAAGTGTCTTATCTCTCCATTTTCCCTCCAAATTTCCTTTCATTCCCCCCCCAAATTCTCTATGCTCTTCCCCTCCCACAGTCTTTCCACTTTGTCTCCAGTGTCCATTACAATTTTTAATACTTTTATGTTCTCTCGTCTTTCAGTCTCTAGCATAGAGTGCACACAGTTGGTATATGTTAAGTAGAGACATACAATGTCTCTCTTTCATAGCCTGACTTGCTTCACTCAGCAACATATTCGTCCACTTTCTATCAAATTCCAGGGCCTTGTTGTTTTTTTATGGCTAAATAGTATTCCGTGGAGTATATATGCCACAATTTTTCAATCCATTCATCAATTTGTGGATATTTTGGTTGGTTTCAAGTCTTAGCAATCGTGAATAATGCTGCAATGAAAGTAGTTGTACAACCACTTTTCCAACTGAGTGCTCTCCTGTCCCCTGGGTAGATACCCAGGAGTGGAATTGCTGGATCACATAGTGAAGTTATTTTCAAAGGATAGTCCATAAGACTAACATCGGACCTCTCACCGGAAACAATGGAAGCGAAGAGTGGAAAAATATATTCAACATGTTAAGTGAAAAACAATTTCAACCAAGAACACTATACCCAGCAAGATTATCTTTCATATGGGAAAAAAAGACAAAAACATTCTTTCTTTTTTTTTTTTTTTTGGAGAGGTTTTTGCTGTAGGGCGCGTGCGCTCGCCAGACAGACAGAGACAGAGAGACAGAAAGCGAGAAATCACCTCCCAGGGGGGATGGCCACCCCACAATCCCTTCTCCCCCATTCTCCTCTCAGGATCTTGGGCACACACACACACGCGCCCGGCGTGAGTTTTAAGCCACCCGGTTCAGGACGCAAACCACAGTCGACTACATGGGAGTCCAGCGACATAGCCATTACGCTAACTGCTGGTCCCGACAAAAACATTCTCAGATAAACAAAACCTGAAAGAATTTACCAACACCAGACCAGCTCTCCATGAAGTGCTGAAGGTAGTGCTATACCAGGAAAACTAAGGTCGGACACATAGAAATAAGAGTACAAGAAACAACCATGAGAATGGCCAACCTAATGGCAGCGACAAGTATGGAGGTGAATGTTAATTTTCAGAGTTCAAATGGAAAAATCAGACCACAGTAACACTGCAAATTCAATAGAAGAGAGATTAATTACGTGAATCTGAAACAGTGAAATAGAATTTTTTTTTTACTTTAGGCTAAAATATTACTGATTTTCTTCAATGCTTTGATTTCCATATTTAAGGATTTGTCTTCTCTTGAACTGTCGACAGGTTCATCTACCTATTATTTGAACTGAATCCTAACCTTTTTCCTGGCTTTTAGTTTTAAGCAAATTTCCCTCAACATTTTTTTATTTTGATCTATTAAAACCAAAACTTTTTTTTTTAATTAAAAAGATGCACTGGAACCAGCAGTTAGCATAATG